AGATAGCACATGTTGTTGCTGGTATATAGAATCTCGGTACTATTCTGAACATTGTTTGTCTTTAGCATGAAGAGCAATTAATTGATTAGGCAATATGTGTATGAGAGATAGAGAGAGAAAGAAGCGTAATAACATAGCTTATCTTCGTCTGTTTCCACAATGACATCGTCATTATGGCAGCTCGAAGTGTAAGTGACCCCGGGGGTTGTATATTAGCTCCCAAAAAAAATACCACCCTACTAGCTTAAATGAGACGTAGGTTGACTAGGATCTTCCCTAAACCTCCCTAGTATCAGTAGTGCGAACTGTGAGTAACCTTTAGTGCGACGCTATAAAATGACGGGATTTTATGAAACTTACAAAAAGAAACCCACAATGGTTAACTGCAAGCAGGGAGGAGGAGTAAAAGCAGATTGTACTGGCTTATTATTTGTCCCATCAGTTCCTAGTGGAACATAAAGCTTCAGTAGCATGTCACCATTTAGCTCTCTGCTCTGCAGTCTTCCTAACCTAGCCCCACGACTCCCCATAACCTTTCATTTCTTCCACACACAATCTCCTCAATGTCACAACCACCTCAGACGTCAAACTCACCGTTTCCCACATAACTTCCACTCGACGACCTGGTCTGGAGTATGATATCCCCAAATGGTCTTCTCAGTCTGTGTCCAATTCAATGCATCACCACTTTCTCTTTCTGCATGTTCGTTGGGTGATGGGTTTTTCCTTCATTGGTTGCTTGCCAGCTAGCCAGCTAGCCAGCCAGCCAGCCAGCCAGCCAGCCAGCCAGCCAGCCAGCCAGCCAGCCAGCCAGCCAGCCAGCCAGCCAGCCAGCCAACCAGACACCCAGCAACCCAGCCACAGTTCCTCCTTGCTCATTCTTGTTGTTCTCGCCATCTGATCTGATTTGATGTGATCTGATCTTCAGTATCGAGTGAGTGTAGGCGGCACCTGTTGATGACGTATGTCTGCAGTTTGTTTCAAATGTTTTTCACCATGTTTTTCGTACCATGTCTATCGACCATCACATAGAAGCACTGACTTACTTGATTGAATTAGTGTTGAGAATCCGGATGTTGTTCACGCTATATGCTGAGTGGAGTGCAGTGTAGTAGATGTCCACATACACTGATTTCGTGTTGATGGAGGAAGGCCTGTCCTGCTATCTTTCGGATGCAGGCTGGTTTTGACATCATCATGTATGCATGCGCCTGTGCCTGTGTCGCCTGTAGTTGAGATGATGTTGTCCAGGTAGGTAAATGAGAGAGACAACCTTCGTTTACATTTCGCTCACTGATAGTGCTTGTTGTTGTTATTGGTTGGGTATCTTCATCACCTCTGTCTTCTGTACACTCACTTGAAGTCCCGTCTTCTTTCGCTGCCTCGTCTCTTCTGCCAACTTGTTAGTTTTCACCTGTGCATCTTCGAGTTTGTTCGACATTGGACATTAGACATGAATGATAATCGGCGACGAAATCGAAATCGTGTAGGGTCTTTTTATCGGTGCAGCCATCGTATGCTCATCTTCTCACTCCTCATAGTTGTCTGTTGCTTGGTCCAGTTCAGTCAAGTCCAGTCGACCAGGATCAGGGAGATCATCGGTGATAGTGGTTGGCAGCCTTGTCTTACTCCTATCTTTACTTCGAAGGAGTCATTGAAGTTTCCATTGTGAATCACTTGGCATGTAGCATCGTCTTCTAACACATAGCTGTTGAATGAGGTTGATAAAGGCTTGTTGAAGCAATTTCCAAACTACTTCTTGATCGACGCTGTCGAAGACATGTGTTATTTGATCTTGATAACTGAAAAATAACACCAAACGATGCTATTAGACCTAAATGTCAGTCCATGAAGTTACCGAAATCGGTATCAATTCCAATTTCTATTCTAAGAGTATCTTTATAAACTGAATTTTGAGTAGTACTGAGCCACTAAACAGTGATTAATGGCGGTTGCATATGGCTCAAATGAAAATCAGTTGTTTATCATAGGCTTAAATGTAATCCTTCTTTAATTAAGTTTCATTTCATGCTGTATTTATCCATCTAATTTATTCTAATCTCAATAATCTTTGTTATCTATCGGTGAAAATCACCACATTGTTTGTTTCAGATAGTTTAAATATGATATTATACGTGATCTACCTATCTGTCTTTTTTATCCAAGCATCTAATAAGCACTACTCAATGAATGAAGTATGTTCTTTTCGATAAGTTCTCATCGGGTTCTACAATTATTGTAAGGAAAAAAAAAATCGATTTCCTTACATTTTATAACTCTCATTCCATTTTGAAAATGTGTTCGCCTGAAAATTGGCCTGTTTTTCTGCTGTACTATTGAATTTTATATTTGTAGAATTCGATGAGAACTTATCGAAAAGAACATTCTTTTTTCAAATTGTTCTTATTATTTTTATGGAATCATTAAGTGTTTAAAATATATATTATCAGTTTAACTAGTTGAGGTGGCCGTGGTATGGTAAACTTGTATTGTTACTGGGTGATGATTGAAGGTGAAGTGAAAAACGGAACTAGGGCCCTAATTTTCCTTTCATCCTATCTTTTTCACTGAAATATTGGACGTTTTACAGTAGTTAAGGAGTGTAGCAAAAAAAATAAGTGGTTGATTGGGTTAAACGTACATTTTCAAACGAATCTACTATGTATTAATGATGGATAGTGGCTAGCAGTGGAATCTAAGACTCACATTTCGTCCCACTTACGAGTTGTTAGCTGGATGTAGCTGCCTCCAAGTCAGCCATGTTGTCCCCACTAGGACTCAAACTCGAGACTGATTGCTTCCGACGCCAGAGCGTTATCCACTGGGTCACCGAGTCATAATGGCCGCCTCTTGTGCAATGGATAGTTTCAATATTGCTGGTTGTTTTATCCCGTTGTTGACCAGACCTAGTTCTTCAGTCTCTATTGGCAGATGGTCTCCTTTGCGAATGTCTCGACATTGTCTGTTTCTTATATATATATATATATATATATATATATATATATATATATATATATATATATATATGAAGTTGCCTACTATCACCGATGATCTTCCTAATCGTGGTGCACTTAACTGGACTGGACCATGCAACAGACAACCGTGAGGAGTGAGAAGATGAACATAAGCTGTTTGACTGATTACAAGACCCTACATTATTTGGATTTTGCCGCCGACAATGATTGTGTCTGCTGTCACGCAAACTGGAAGATCTAAAGGCAAAAACCAACAAGTTGACAGAAAAGGCGAGGTGGTGAAGACAGGACTTCTTTCAGGTGGACGTAGAGAAGACAGAAGATACCCAACCAATAACAACAACAGGCACCATCAGTGGAAGAAATCTAAAGAAAGTAGTCTCTTTAACCTACGTACCTACTTACCTATCTACTTTCCTACCTACCTACCTTCCTACCTAGGCAGTGTCGTTTCAACTACAGACAGCGCAGGCACAGGCACACACACACATATGATGATGTCAAAACCAGCCTGCATCCGAAAGATAGCAGGACAGGCCTTCCTCCATCAACACGAAATCAATGTGTGTGGATATCTACTGCACTCCACTCCACTCCATTCCACTCAGCATATAGCGTGAACAACATCCGGATTCTCAACACAAATTCAGTCAGGTAAATCAGTGCTTCTATGTGATGGTCGATAGACATGGTACGAAAAACATGGTGAAAAACATTTGAAACAAACTGCAGACATACGTCATCAACAGGTGCCGCCTACACTCACTCAATACTGAAGATCAGATCAGATCAAATCAGATTAGATGGCGAGAACAACAAGAATGAGCAAGGAGGAACTGTGGCTGGCTGGCTGGCAAGCAACCAATGAAGGAAAAACCCATCACCCAACGAACATGCAGAAAGAGAAAGTGGTGATGCATTGAATTGGACACAGACTGAGAAGACCATTTGGGGATATCATACTCCAGACCAGGTCGTCGAGTGGAAGTTAAGTGGGAAACGATGAGCTTGGCGTCTGAGGTGGTTGTGACATTGAGGAGATTGTGTGTGGAAGAAATGAAAGGTTATGGGGAGTCGTGGGGCTAGGTTAGGAAGACTGCAGAGCAGAGAGTGAAATGGTGACATGCTACTGAAGCTTTTTGTTCTACTAGGAAGCCAACGGAGAAATAATAATAATAATCATAAAAGTATCGCCAAATGTAATCGAAATTTTACTTGCATGAAATTCCATGTAATTGCTTAACTAGAATAGTTTGGAAATTTATAAGATAGAAGATTGATTATAGATTGTTATCAGGCCTTTTAAGAGAATTGGAGAAAACCAAGAAGGTGAATATTTATATTAACACAGTCAACATAACTAGGATTACTAAACTCAGCGATAATGTGTCAATGAAATGTATACACAATACGGCCAGTGTGATAAGAAAAAATATGAAAACAATTTAGTTTCTTCATGTTATCGATTACTGTATGAAATTGATAAATGACTTATGCTGTATTCATTATTCGCACACAGACACGTGTAAAGGTGTTAAAATAATGCCATTTTTATACAAGCCTGGCAATAATGATAATAACTATAATAGTAGAAATAACAGAAATAAAACAGTTGTCATTGTTCTTCGTTAAAAAGTCCTAATTGTTCTTATTGTCGTAATTGGTGATTTATATACTTTGGTAATGTTCATCTCTTTACTTAAAATTGCAAAGAATAACAGAAATATGCACACTTATAATGACTATACTGTGCATAAGCGGATATATTTTTTTGTGTTACACTATTTACGTATACAGACATTCACGTGATGTAAAATTGAAAATGAATTGTGCTATAATCAATCAATAGTCATCAGACATTAATTATTTACAGATTTTGTTATAAAATTCGGAGTAATATATATATATATATATATATATATATATATATATATATATCGATTTTTATTTGTGCGTGTCAAGGTCATGGACATTTTATTTCAATTTCCAACTATAAAACAGCAAGTGTATATCGATAACATTTTTGTTATTGAGCATGTACTCTAACCCGATGCATACATATAATAAGTATGTGGGTATCGTGTTTTTTTTTAAATCATTGTACCATTCTTGGTAAGCATGATTTTAGTAATGATAGTGTACAATTATACACTGTCAATTTCATTCTTTGAATAATTGACTTTAATTGACTAGTGTTTACTTTAGGTAAGGGTTTAATAAAGTGACGAACAGAACAATATGTCATAAGATGGAATAAGCCAAACTTATTGTGTAAGGGCTACCTGTCTGCCCACACTGCTCAGCACTTCTCACCCCTTATAACTGTAACGGAACAGCTGTTCGTTGCTTCCAAGTTTTCAATATTCCTCCAATAGATATCAGTTCGTGATGAATACTACCTAAAGAATTAAGTTCCCAGACTTCAAACTACGTCTTTGGTACATTTTGAAATGGAGAATCCGGGGGTCCGCCTGAGAATGAATGATAATCATCCGTATCCAAACCACAGTTGTTACCAATTTCCTGGGAAAAATTGAGGCCCTAGTCCCACTTATTCATTTTATCAATATGCCTTATATTCATCTTAGACTAGTTAGAAAATCTGTATAAGTTACAGCTTCTTCAGCATAAAACATCTGAATTCTTTAAACTTCAAATTAATCGTACATCAAAACATAGTACTATTGGTTACGGTGGTGTGTTGTTCAAACTGAGCAATTATGATTAGTCATCATGAATTTCTAATTTTATTGCTTTCTGTCAGTGAAAATTGAAGGACAGTCAACCAAAGTGTGTATGCTGCTAAATTTATCATTAATGTTTGTCCTTTAGGTTCCCAGGGCTTCAGTGCTACGTTCCCATTTCACTCTCTGCTCTGCAGTCTTCCTAACCTAGCCCCACGACTCCCCATAACCTTTCATTTCTTCCACACACAATCTCCTCAATGTCACAACCACCTCAGACGCCAAACTCATCGTTTCCCACTTAACTTCCACTCGACGACCTGGTCTGGAGTATGATATCCCCAAATGGTCTTCTCAGTCTGTGTCCAATTCAATGCATCACCACTTTCTCTTTCTGCATGTTCGTTGGGTGATGGGTTTTTCCTTCATTGGTTCGTTGCCAGCTAGCCAGTCAGCCACAGTTCCTCCTTGCTTATTCTTGTTGTTCTCGCCATCTGATCTGATTTGATGTGATCTGATCTTCAGTATCGAGTGAGTGTAGGCGACACCTGTTGATGACGTATGTCTGCAGTTTGTTTCAAATGTTTTTCACCATGTTTTTCGCACCATGTCTCTCGACCATCACATAGAAGCACTGATTTACTTGATTGAATTAGTGTTGAGAATCCGGATGTTGTTCACACTATATGCTGAGTGGAGTGGAGTGGAGTGGAGTGGAGTGGAGTGCAGTTGAGTGCAGTGCAGTAGATGTCCACACACACTGATTTCGTGTTAATAGAGGAAGGTGTGTCCTGCTATCTTTCGGATCCAGGCTGGTTTTGACATCATCATGTGTGCCTGTGCCTGCGGTGTCTGTAGTTGAAACGACACTGCCTAGGTAGGCAGGTAGGTGTATAGGTAGGTAGATGAGAGAGACAACCTTCGTTTACATTTCGCTCACTGATAGTGCTTGTTGTTGTTATTGTTTGAGCATCTTCATCACCTCTGTCTTCTCTACACTCACTTGATTCCCCGTCTTCTTTCGCTGCCTCGTCTCTTCTGCCAACTTGTTAGTTTTCACCTGTGCATCTTCGAGTTTGTTCGACATTGGACATTAGACATGAATGATAATCGGCGACGAAATCGAAATCGTGTAGGGTCTTTTTATCGGTGCAGCCATCGTATGCTCATCTTCTTACTCCTCACAGTTGTTTGTTGCATGGTCCAATTCAGTCAAGTCCAGTGGACCAGGATCGGGGAGATCATCGGTGATAGTGGTTGGCAGTCATGTCTTACTCCTATCTTTACTTCGAAGGAGTCTTTGAAGTTTCCATTGTGAATCACTTGGCATGTAGCATCATCTTATAACATATAGCTGTTGAATGAGGTTGGTAAAGGTTTGCGGTACTCTGTAATTTTGAAGCAATTTCCGAACTTCTTCTTGGTCAGCACAATATGGCTTTGATACTTCAGCTTCCTGATTTCTGTCGTTGATGACACGCAATTTTTATTCGCTGCTTGTGTGTGGGATGCTCTGGGGATTCATCGATATGGCCGGTTTTGTCAGTCTTGATATTAATGATGGATAACTGCTAGTAGTGGAATCCAGGACTTGCGTTTCGTCCTGTTTAGGAGTCAATAGCTGGATTTGCCTACGGCTATCCATCATTAATAGCAAAATTGATCCTTAGCTTGTTCACGGGTGAGAACTGTTGAGGAGTCCTATACTAGGATGAGTTCTCTTAAGTGTTCAATCTTTCTCCAACTGATGTCAGTCCATGATTAGTATCAGCCAAAAATGAAACAATAAATTCCCACAAAACTTCTAAATCGAGAACTGAAAATACCAGGAATGTGAAGACATTCGTACAGGGTTCCATACGCCAATAGTAACCGATCAGTTCGATTCAATCAACAACGGAGATTTACGAGGTAAGACATCAGAACCCTAGGTCTTAGTAATTGAATGGTAATCTGAAGCAATAATCCCTTTTATGAATTTGGATAAGGTAATTAAAAAAACTTAGGCAGTCTGAAATGTGTTATGCATTTGTACTATACATTCTGAATAGTCTTATCATATATATTGACTTATCAAAGCATTTTATGTGCAAGGTGAAAACAGGAAAAGGGTGAACCAGAACAATCAACAGTGTAATAACAAGGGCGGTAATAAAGGTAGAATAGTAAGTTTTACATAAGCAACTTTTGTAATTAGTCGTGGTAAATATTACCAAAGTAAGTTTAACATAAAGACAATTTTTAGAGTGATTAAAACCTCAGAAAACGTAAAAAAACATCCCTTAACAGTCTTTACATTATGTTGTTTAAGACTGTTTTAATGCCATTCTTTTGACCTTTATGAATAATGTGTTTAGCAGTGGACAAAGCTGGTTGTCTACCATTTGGAATAATCAATGATTATGAATCCAATTACTTTTTTAGCTATAGTGTACATGTTCCACCACTCTCAAGTCCTCCCAATGTATATGTCACCATACATACATGTAAACTGTTAGAATACAATGAGGTATGACACAGTCAAGTACTAAAAGCCTAGATTTATAATGCGTTTTGTTAATTGCATATGCTTTAGCCTACATTTTAAAATTGTGCTACAAGATTTTCCTTTTTACGGTAGCGTGAGATATACGCTTTTGTTCAGTATCGAATATTGAGCTGATTTCATCACTGATGGACTTCTACAGTGGCTTGTGAGTTTTAAGGTGAAGATTGAAGGTAACATATTAAAAAGTGGGAAAGTAAAAATAAAAACAGTGATAATCAGTTAGTAAGCATAAGGTGAATATTGAAGCAAGAAAAGATTCTAACCACAGCAAAATAAGAAAATATACCTACCTTTTCTGTATACAGAGCTTAGGGTTCAATTGTTAGATTGCCAATACCCTTACAATGAATATTAATTTTCGATTGATATTTCCACTGAGTCTTCAGTACAAACACACCGAACCTTTTTAAACAAACAATTTATCATGCTTCGCTTATATTTCACCGAGTAACTGATATCTAACAGTGCTCACAGACAAATCTACTTATAAGTATAACTTAGGTATTATATTCGAAATAGGGTTACTTAGTTGCTTGTATTTTTTCAGAAAGTGATTTCTGAAAACGATTTTAATCAGTCTAAATAACTCTTCATATAGTCTTTCTAGACACTGCCGGTAAATGATAGAATTTTGAGCTATCTATTAGTTTATAAAGTGGACCTTTGACTTCATTTATTTGTTATTATTCAGACAAAAGATTTCAATAAACATTTTAGTTGATTGGGGGTATTTTGACGTAGTATACTGAAATATAGTAACATCTACAATGTACACTCTTATATGCTGATATAAAACTTCACTGATATCTTATTTGAACATGATATTCTTATGTTAGGTCAGTAAAATCATCATCGTTGTAGTCTAATTAAAGTTATACTATATGGCCATTGCCACGTCTGTTATTAGTAGTAGTTAGATGTAAATTATCTTCATACTATTCGATTGTTGGAGGCAATCATTAGGAGGGACTGAACTAAGGTCCAAGGTAGAATGTATCACGATGGTGAATCTCTTAGCTTGACGACCATATAGCAAAAATAGTCGGTAAAATTCGGCGGATACCTAGCACTACACAACATAAAATATGTTACTCACTGGTAACCAGTTCATGTATCTCCATATCCTCTCAGTTCATCAGGGTGGTTATTCTCCTGGCATGGTGGTCAAATCGATATGGACTGAGGATAAGACAACATAACGTTGGTTAACCTGCGTTGACCATTCGATGTATTTAATCTAGTCCTACGAAAGTTCAGGTGTGGCCCGAACAGCATAGTGATAACTTTTTCGACTGTAGCGCTAGGTGACATGGTTTCGAGTGTCAGGTGGAACATTAATTCTGTAGAAGTTTCAGGTCCACCTTGCTAACGAGTGCCAAAAATCACGAACTCTAGGTTGAGCGCGGTCTTCTGTTGACTACTTCCATCCGACTAATATATTGCTTAGTTACTTTGGTGTTTTTTAAATCTTGAGCATTAGTTGACACCGAAAACTTAATTATTATTCTGTAACTCTCTACTCCTTCAGCTTCTTGAAAAATTTCCTGTAATTGATTAAGTTGTTTTTAGTCAAAAAAATGGTAGCCTAACTACTGTACTTTGTGTTCAAGAATTTTCGAAAATGCTCACCAGACTGTGGTAGAGTTTCTTGAGATAAATAGTGTATTGACCTATTCAGGGTCGAACGGATCGGCCCCTGTTGATACTTGAGCTCCTATGCAGATGTCTAGATACTACTGGTTATTCACGATGTTATATTGATCGTGATGACTAGCAGAGGAATCACGGACGAGTATTTCGTCCTTTTTTGAGACTCATCAACCGTATATACCTCTACCCCAGTAAATGATGTTGTTTCCACTGTAGATCAAACCCAGTTCCGTTCGTTTCAAACACCAGTATGCCATGATAGCCAGATCTTTTGCAGGGGGTATCAGTTGTTTTTATGATACTTGTAGTCAACAGTATCGTGGCATTTCCATACGAGCCTATCTGCCAACAGAGACCGAGTAGTTCGACCCTGTATGGCAACGGGAAATAACAAGTACCATTACAACAACTGATACCCTTTACACAAGAGGTGGCTTTCGTGCCTCAGAGGCTAAGTAGATAACGCTGTGGCATTTGAAGCGAAAGGTACTGGGTTCGAGCTTCAGTGGGAACGACATCACTGACTGAGGTTCAGGTGCATACAGCTAACGAGTCTTTAGTAGGAAGAAACGTGCCTCCTGGATTCCCCTGCCAGTCACCGAGGTCAATATAACATAATGTATTTACATTTTTATAATAGATTTCATTCTCCTCTCATGTGATATGGCCATTCTACTGTTTAAAACCAGACTATAGAATTTGAGTGGTTCGATTTATATATATATATCATTCTCAGAAATCTCCATTATAGTGTAAATTGCCCTGTTATTAGTAACTACGGTTTTAAAAGTTTTGAGGGAATCTATGTACTGACTGAAAAACTTGCTATTGATTTGGTAGATCTAAGATTACTCACAAGAAGTTGTATTGTTAGCGATCAGTAGAAAGAACTATAAAAAATTCTCTGACAGATTGCCCTTTGCTCTACCGGAAACTTCTTATAACTTACATTTGACTGTCCAGAATGAAATGCGATGTGTCGCGAATTCTGCTCAGTTAGTAAGCAACTCACATGGGAACCCCGTCGATCTAATTAATTCTCCACTAAGCTGTTCACAGCATTTTCAGTTGTTCCTCAATATCTTTCTCGTATGCAGACCACTGCTCTTCAGGAGAAATATTTTAAAAAGTATCGTTGGCAGGATTTACGGTAGTATCAGTCAGCATATTACCTGTAAACGTGATGCATACTAAAGTAGAAGTCCTATCAATGAAATCTTGCTAAAACCAAAAGGTCAGTTCGTTTCTGATGAAAGTCCGTAAGTACATTGACTGGTCGCTGGAGGGTAACCAGCTTCATGTTGCCTGACCCTTAGTGCTATTCAAATTCTGTTGATCATTTTGCAATATGATCACCAGGGTAGGAGACTTAGAATCGCGATGCAATTTGATAGGTGCTAGTTGGATGAAGGCGATCGGCAGGGAACCCTGCGTGACCTAGGTTTCTTTCTGTTTGGGACTTGTTAACAAGGCGTATCTGCAACCATTACGGTCTCACCTGGGACTCGAACGTGGGTTACCCAGTGGTGTAACCAGAAATGCTACCGATGATCTATTTAAACCGCGACTGACCTCCTGTAGGACGGATTCTACCAATCATTTGCACTTTTGGTTGCCTTCCAGTGACTAATGAATGTACTTAGTAAAATCCACACACTTGGAGTCAACTGTATCCCGAATAGCTCGGCGGTAACGTCTGTGACTGCAGTACTGTGTCGCGTGGGTTTGAGTCTCAGGCGGGACATCAGCTCTGTCGAGATTGTTGGCAAACCTTACCCACAAGGGCCAGGAAGCACGAGCAGAGCTTCTTACCGATTACTTCCATCCAGTTAACAAAATTTGTATGAAGTAGTAATGACAGTGGAATCCAAGACGCGCAATTCGTCATATTTGGTATTCGTCAGCCGTATGCACCTGCTTCCCAGTGAGTGTTGTTCCTACAGGGGCTCGAACCCGGGACCGACCGCTCCAAACGCCGGAACACTATCCACTAGTCCAACAAGCCATGATAGCCACTCCTTGCGTGACTAGTCCTAAATAGGACAAAATGTGCATCCTGGATTCCACTGCTAGCCACCTTCCATCATTACCATATAATTAAAAACACAGGCAATATCGAGGCATCTGCATAGCAGCCCATGTGCCAATACAGACCGATCAATTCGGTCCATTCAACAACAGTATAGTACAAACAATAACACCGAATATTTGTATGTCTTCGTAAGTTAAGAGGATAAACGTTTACTTTACAGCTGGTTGACTCTTATCTCACAAAATGAATATAAATTAACTTCAGAAAGTTTGAGTAGTAATCTAAATATGTGAAAATTCTCAGTTAGTTAATAAAATGTAGTTATTTTATAATTTCCTTTTTAATTTTTACTGACGAATGGGTTTTTGGCTTTTCGTCTTTTCTTCTGAGTGGAAAATTATCATTTTATTACCATGTATTTCTCTTGCATTTGGATATTTAATTCTTAATATACTTCCGTATATTACAGTTACCTAATGTTACCAGTAGAATTAATCAACTACCAATGAATATGGATAATGTCAAACTTTTGACAGAAGTTACTAACCAACATTTACGTATTAGTTCACTTGAAGAGACGAATCGAGACTTGGAGGAGAAAATTAATAAATTGGAAGTAAGTGCTTCATTATTTCCATGTAATATGTTGCCTTTTCGGGCATTGTTAAGGCTTTCTTTTGAAGGCGATTTTAGTATATAGCCATTTTATATTCTATGTTTCCAATGTGGTATTCATCATAGATTGACATTAATTGGGGGGGGGGGGGAGGGGAGGGGAAGGACCTAAAGTCCTTTCATCTGAAAACGTTTCATATCTCTTGGTATTAGTGTTCTTCATACTTAATGTTAGTCACCTTATCTGTTTTCAATTCACGTTCGCCCAACGTCAGCGTGGATGGTTGATATTAGTGAAAAAGTTAGTTGGTAGCTAGTGTTATCCAACTTTATCTCCCTGAACTGTTTACCCAACGACTAACGATTATGGTAAAACTTAATTTTGCAATATGTGACTCTTTGAAGTTACTAGCCAAAACGAAAGAATCCACTCAATCAAAATAATTAAGATATGCTTGTACTCAAGTGTGTATACATGTGTGTATGCATTTTTAAACGTGAAGTGTATAAATCATGGAAGCTGAGTTTGTATATCGCTTCAATTACGTAAACCTAAGCTTCTCAGTAGTAACATATATCTTCAAAAAGTGTATTACTCATAGCTAAGTACATCAAATATATACCATATTTAGTCGCGTCTTCTGTATGTAAATTATCATTCAAGTATAAATCACTTTTTAAGGATTATTAGGAAGCACTAACTCATTCTCATCTTCTGTGGAAATTCTTTGTGAGAAGTTCTCAAATCTTTGCATGTGTATAGTTTCACACTCATTGGTATGAGTATATTTTTGAGGCTTCATCTTCTTGCTACAAAAATATCAGGTGAAAAAGAAGATACAAATATGTCTGTCTTATTATACTCTAGTGGATACAGTCTTGACCGGAAGTTGCAAGACATCCATTCAGAAGTTCTACAACCTATCCTTTTCGTTGAGTTACTTAATATTAGGTAATAATAATGATGTAATAATGATATTCAGTTTTCTTTATTATATCAGAAAGTCATTTTTATTAGTGTGTGTACATTTTAATCCCCTTATACGAAAAGCTTTTATACATTACATTTCATCACGCTATGAATAGCTGGAGAAACTAAAAGTTGAAATACATTATTGGGTAATAGCCTCTTCAGTGGGTTCAAATAACGCATATCTTTGCTGGCTGTGATGACTTTTCAAATGGAGCTGTCGGTTGGAGTCAGTAATGTAAACGGCATATAGTGAAGACTTCTATGGATACAAATATATTTAGTTGAATATTTACAGATTTAATCTAATATCCAGCGTCCTAACAAACCAAGACATTAGAAATAATCGCCTAATGTAGATTTATTGTCATCTAATTACAGAATGAGCCCTATTCATATTTAGTTTATGTTAAATATTTTGAATATTCATTTATTGAAAGACAAGTTGTTTAACTATTCTTTGGGTTTAAGGATGTTTGCTAAGTGTTTATGTGTGTGGGTGAGAGATAGAGAAGTCATCCTTCGATCCTTTCGAACTAGTGTAAAGCAATCAATAAAAATTTTCTTCGTTTATGCATTTACTTATTGATCCCTGTGCCAACATTTACATGATCACATATTATTTTTCTTTTCTATGGTGTACTTGCATTAAATTTTTGCTATCTTTCAGATTACTATGTCCCTTTGATTTATCAGCTTTGTATTTTAAATAAGAAGTAATACTTTGTTGGATAGTGCGATAATACGCTAGTTCAAAGCATTTGTTACTAGTTAGTAGATGAACAATAAGTAGCTTCTTAGAACTTTTTTGTTATGCAAGCAAGATTGCCTAGTCTTTGCACTGGTTAAATGTGAAGTCTAGTAGTATGCTGTTTCGCAGCATCTAACTATATGATACAAGGTGAATGATATAAGTCAGTCTGAGGATTTATGGAGACTCATTAATTGATTTCAGATTGGAATTCATCATGGACTGACACCAGTTGGAGGAACATTGGAAACTTTGGAGCATTGAACAGACGTTTTCTCCTAGTATTGAACTCCTCAGCAGTGCGCACCAGTGACCCCGCGAGGGATTGAACCAACGAACTTCAGGTCCCGTTGAGCCCATTGAGCCAATGCGTCGAAATCCTGTGGTCTACATTTCCCACTTCTATCAGTCCACGATGTAGCGAAATCTCTATTTATTGCTGTAATTGAGTAACTATCTTCATGTTAGCTCCACCGGTTACGACTTCTCACTGTAGCTTCAAGAATCACCTTTCGAAGTTAGTCATCAATGGGCACTAGATTAATTCAGTCTGGATGTTTACGGGGATTTATTAATTGATTTAAAGTTGCAATTCATCACGGAACCTGAAAGTCCTGGGCTCGACCCCTGACGAGGTCACGAGTGCACATTGCTAAAGAGTCCCGTACTAGGACGAAGCAGCTGCGCACTACTCTTAGGTTTCCAATGTTCCTCAAACTGATGTCAGTCAACGATGAATTCTAACCTGAATGACATAAGTCTTTAATAGATAACCGTTGAATGGTGTTTGTAAAGTCCAGTTCATGTTTAATTTCGCTGAGTGAGCAATATTTAGGTGACAGAAATAGTTGCTATAGTGTTACCAGCACTATGACAGTAACTATGTGTATGATTGACAGCCTTAGTGCATTTATAAATGGTTGTGTATAAATTACATATCTATACCTACAGACATATTTTGAAATTGGTCTTTTAAACGTAGATTTTTTTATACTCCTGATAATATTATTACTTTTATCAACAATAAGACTGTACTGTATATCAGGATTATGCACCTCATTGACATAAGCATGGTATAATAACACTTTGTAGCGCAGACTGTTTACAGCCAACTTCACTATCAGCTGCAGTTTTGTGGAAATCACCCTTGAAAGTTGTCATTAACAATCTTAGAAAGTGCGAATGTGACTACGTATAGTGCTTCCAAGAGGCTTAGTAGTACAGTGGTTCGCAAGTAAAAACTAATCGATTGACGGAGTAATCTCTGAAGGTAATTTATTTTAGGTTATGGTGTTGACATCTACAATATGGGATGGGATTAGTCGGTATGGAAACATTTTTTGCATTGAAAGTAATGCACTACTAAGAAATGATATGAAAAAATACTTTTCAATTATCATCTCCTAAATCTTGTTTACGGTTTTTCATGTCTGATAATTTACATTTAAAGAAAGATTTAAAGGCTGAACCAAGGTATAACCTTGTTCATTACTGAACTTTTATTACCAATATCACTTTAAAAGCATTAAGACAGACATAACATAACCTTAAAATTCAAAGCGAATAAACAAAAACTGGTCAGTCAGACGTGACATCTAGTCATTTGAAGCCTATCTTTGGGAACAGTAACATAGATCAAAGGTGTTTGTTGTTATAAGGAGTTCAAGTAATTGTGTTCATCTCTGCATATATATATATATATATATATATATATATATATATATATATATAATATTTTCCTTGCTATTCCTAAGGAACTTATCAATTCAGTAGTCAGTGCAGTTCTATGAATTAGAAAATGGTGAAAGGGAACTAACGATGTTGGATTGTGGAATAAAACAGAAACAAGACATGAGTTTAGACACTAGTGTCTATAGAGAACGTTTACCTCCAAATCGTCACTTAGACTTCACATTGTCAGATCCTATGTCAGTTAAAGTTGGCTCGGTAAAATGTCTAAGTAACAGGGTCAAAAACTTATTAGTAAAACAGAAGATCTAAGACAAGAAACGTGATACAGTAAGGACACCTTACTCATCAAAAATTATTCTCCCAGATTAATTCATAAGTTCTTCAGAAATAGTAAGAAAAACATGACTACTATTAATGACACAGGTGTCAATATTAATAATGATAATAATGGTGGCAATACCGTGAACAGAGAATCCGAAACCTCTGCAGTATTACCATACAAAGAAGGCACTTCAACAAAACTTCGTAGAAGTCCCGATAAGGCTGGGATGAGTGGCATTTAAACCCATAAACTCACTTCGAAATAAGGTTTGTAGTTTAAAAGATCCTGTTGATCCAGTTAAGCAGAATACTTTAGTTTATCAATTCCCTTTCAACGAATACATGGTGAAATACGTAGGTGAAAACAGTCAACCAGGATCAATTAGATTATCTGAGTACAAAACCCTAGCTAGGTCAAAATTGGTAGATCCTAGTAAGGTAAGGAATTTAGAAAAAAGCTTAGTCATAGCTATGCATGTGATCACACCATCATTGTGAACACTCCTTTTATCTCCTCTCTGATCACTATCAACTAAATGTGACAAAATGGAGCTTCTTATAGATTTAATCTATCCTTTTCGTAGTCACAAGAGGAAGTGTTCAATAACACGTTGGTTAAGTTGCCTAGTCGTACGTCCGATGTAACTGTCTCCACAGGAGTAATTAAACTGGCAAATACATATGGTAGTGGCGAAAGTTTGTTTGATATGAGGTAAATCGTCCACTAGAAAACGACAGACAGAGATTAACTGCATATAAAGTTCTTCTAACGGTTCTTGACAGTCTCTAGAATAGGATCTCACTAAGTATATCTCCATCAAATTGTATCTTTCGAACAGTTGCTACTTCAAGTCTTTTAACATTATAGCAGGGCTAATTAATTTGGCATTCAGTATAAAGTAGCTTCTAAACACATTATATACGTTGTGGCTATATTGAAATGTATTCTTCTAGAATAAGTTCTGTTATATTAATGTAAGCGCAAAACTTGGCCACCGTGAAACAATTTAATTCCATAATTGATTTGTCAATCTGATTTACAAACACACAGTGTGATACAGTATTATTTACTTGATGATATCTTGAGCATAAATTATCATTGCTCATAATCAAATCAATGTAATCACACTTCTTTCAACAATCACGTTTTGTAGTTCTGTCACCCACCTTTTATTCTTTGTTTCTATTGTTCGTAAAATTCTTTCCATATCTCTGGTGTAGGTGTTGTGTCATTCCTATAGCATATGTTGGGTGTTGATTCAGTGAA